TCCGTCCTTCCCGTACCTACTCCGCCNCCTCCTCTCTCTCTCTCTCTCTCTCTCTCCGTGACCCCCTCTCCTCTTCCAGCGCGATCAACTTCCTCTTTCTCTCGCCGACCTTCCATCCTCCATCCCTTCTCCGTGTCTCCGCTTCACACCTTTTCCGCCGAAGCTTGGGTGCAGTCACCGCGAGAACCTTCAGCCAACCACCTCTCCAGCAGGTGAGCTTTCTTGGCCGTGGCCGCCCGGTCACTGGATAGTTGGTTGGTTTCGTTGGTCGTCTGCGTTCGTCGAGGTGTGTGTGTGTGTGTGTGTGCGCGTGTGTGCGTGTGTGTGTGCGTGCGTGCGTGCGTGCGGTCCGCACACTCGGTTGGTAATCGCAGCCGCGCGTCGCCTGTCGGCCATCGGCCGTCGCCCGTCGCCGTGCTCGTCGTCGGTCGGTCATCGGAGCGAGAGTGCCGAGATCCTCCTCCACCGAGCCGCCTCAGGTTCGGTCGTGTGCACGGGATTTTCCATTAGCTCGTTCGACCAAGTGCGCGGGATCAGAGAGAGGGAAAAACCTTTGGAGTGGCCCGCGTCCTTCCTTCCTTTCTTCTCTCTATCCTCTCTTTGTTTCCTCGCGTACCTACGATCCCACTCCTCTCGATTTTCCCGAAAATGTAACGCGACCCCCTTCTTCGTTTCCTGTCGGACGAAACCGAAGTCGTGCGTAGATCGATAACGACTTTGTTCGCGCAACTCTCGATATCGAGATCGAAGAAGACTACGGCTAGAAAATTTCCAGGTTTTGAAACTCGATCGTCCTTCGAAAGGGACGAAAGGCAAGGGAAGGCAAGGCGCAGGAGGTAGTTGAAGAGCGATCTTTGCCAACGAAGGGACGAAACGCGCAGGCGTGATCCGCGGAATCGAATAAACAGACGGCAACAATTTGGGGTAGGAGAAGAGATAGATAGATAGAGAGAGAGAGAGGGAGAGAGTTTTTGACTCGTGCCCTCGTTTTCGGAAATGGTGCCTCCGAGCTTTACATCCGAGTCGACTCTGTGGCGCGACGCGCCCCGATCACCCTCCAATCGACCTACCACCCGATTCGATTCCTCCCGTCGCTCGCCATCTTCGAGGCAGGGCGCGAGTGGTGTGGAATTTCGAAAGCGAGAAACGTCGCGCGGTTAATCTTATTAAATACACGGAATATACTAGTAGACGCGGTAGAGCAGTGTAACGTTCGCCAAAATGGCGGGTACGGCGGCGTGATCGCGGCGAGTGTGGGAATAAATGGCGCGGTATTGGATCTCCGGTTAGGAAAAGAACGGTGGCATTTTCCCTGTCGTGAGATCCAGTCGTGTGTGTTTTGCCGATCCGTTAGGGTCTCCATTGCGGGAGGAGAAGAGATCCGCGATGGTGGGTGGTGGTGATTGCAAGGTCGCCACCGTGGAGGTGGAAGCAGCCGCTGCGGACAACACGGCGACGCTCCCCGTGACCAGACCCCTGAATCCGCAAAACAACTCGTCGCCAAACGCGCAGGACAACGCCGAGAAGAACAACGCGGCGAACAAAGAGATGGAGCTGAAGAACGTGCGCTCGACCCCAGCGAAAAAGTAAGAGACCCCCGGCTGTAGACGTAGAGAAAAATCATCCACAACCGATGGGATGGGGATGGATGGAGGGATAGGAAGAGGAGGAGGAGGAGGTGGAAACAACTCCTCGCTTTTTTTTCTCTTACTTTTTCCCATCTCCTCCTCGTTGTTATCCACGTATGGTAACCGCTCGTTCGCGATTATCCTTTTATCCACGCTTTTGCTCCTTCTTTTTCTTTTTCTTTCTTCTTCTTCTTCTTCTTTTCCCGAAGTTCGATCGGGGAGATTCGCTTGGCCAGAGAATATAAATATCCGTCATTCGCATCCGTTTTAACGAGGGATTTATCCGAACGTTACGTTTTTTCCGCGCTGCAATTACACCGAGTTGAAACGAGACTAGGTCAAGCGTCCACTTGAAAAGAACTACCGTAATCTACACGCTAACGAATGGTAATTATTCAGGAGCACCGGTGTTCAACTTCCCTGAAAACTTCCCCGACTTTTCCACTTTCTTCGCGTTTGTTTGTTACTCGCTGTTGAATTAAAAAAAAAAAAAAAAACAAAAAAAAACAAAAAGAAAAACGAGAGCGAAGGGAGAGGGGAAATTGGGAAGATAAATATGAGAGGCTCCGTAACTGGGTCGACGTTATTAAAAATTCCACGAGCAAACTCGTCCGCGGCTCTCTTTTCCCGATACTCGGTATTCGCGGTTGATCGGGAATGCGTAGGAAAATATTCTCCAGCTATCCGTTCCATAGGAATTTCGATATCGAATACTGGGTCAAACGTACCGAGAGACGTACGTTTCTCGCGCACGGAAACGTTCGCGTCCAATCCTCCGGAAGATCGATCCTCCGTTTATCGGATTCCGGCCGAGGACGTAATAACGATTTTCAATCGGTCACGACCGATTATTCGAGCCTCCTTTCTCTCCACCTCCGCTGGATTTGCTTTCGTCCCACGAATGGCGCGACGCCCACCATTGCAAGTACGAATGAAAGTACACGAACAGGCGTGTGAATAAGAATTCTTCTTCTTCCGAATGACGCGATCGAGAAGAATCTTTGCAGCACGTTCCTCGCGATTGCTCAGTGTAATCAATCTCCGTGTAAATTTTAGTTAAATATATATATATATACTTTTAGAAAGGAAGGCTACGCATCGATGCTTGCCGATCCGTGGGTCGCGGCAATTTTAAAAGAGGATCACAAAAAGGATTTTCCGGCTGGTCGATGTCGTTATTTTTAGTTCTACCGCTCGGACTGTAGCAAAATTCGAACGAAATTTTCCTTGGTTGCGACGATTATCGATTCGTGAAAAGTGTTTGGGGAAAAACGGACATTGGATAACTTCTTCTCCTCTCGTGCCGTGCCATTCATTTTACGAAACCCCCCCCCTCCCTCTCTCTCTCTGCTCGTTCGACTCGAAATGGCGGCAAGAGGTGGAAGGTTTCGTCTGCGTGTCTATTTACGACGCACTTCGTTAGCCGTGGCTGCCTGTGAAGCGTCTTGCGCGTCTAGTGCGCATTATACGCGGCACCGAGTTATGCACTCGCGCACGTACACCACCTACCACCCCATGCCGGAGCGGGTAACTAACCGAGCGAGGTTGCGGCCACGAACGAATGGAAATCATTCTCGGGAAAAGAATCGAGGAAGTGGAGCGCGAACGTATTTCGAGAAGGGACGGCGTGCGGTTTATCCTCTGCGGATATATCGGACCTGTGGGGATGTGAGACAGGCCGTGCATTAACCCTGGAACGCGACGACACCTTTTTTTTCTTTTTTTTTCCTTTTTTATTCTCCCCTCTCTTCTTTCTTTTGGGGACGTCGAGTTAAAGTCAGGCCGTTCCTCGCGATAATCCTGCTCGCGTGAAAAGAGAGAATCGGAGAGGACGACGATGAGAGACGCCTGAGAGAGGAGAGTAAAGTACGTACTCGCGCCCGATCGATAAATTAATTTTCCTCCCTCGCATCTCGAGACAAAAGAAAGACAAAAGAGAGAGAGAGAGAGAGAGAGGCGCGGAGAGCGAGCATCGATCGAGCCCGATAATGGCGCGAACTAGTTTCGAGCCGCGATTTATAATTTATTAATATCGATCGAGTACACGACAGTGATACGTTGTGCATACACGGGCAAAGCGATACCTTCTCGAATTACACACTCGCAATTGCATTAACACGGGTTGAAAACGAAGCTTGCCCGGTCTAGACGAGACAGTATTACGGGCCCCGTGAACGTGACTGCGCATACCGCCGATGGCATGGAGTAAGAGTACACGTAGAGAAAAACGAACGATCCGCCACCGAAAATAACGCTAAACTAATGTTCTCGGTCGTTCAAATCGACGACGGTGCGCGAAAAGCTAAACTCGTCGACACGGATCAAAATAGAGAGGATTGAAAAATCTATCGCGGTTGAACGAAACGACGCCGATCGGATTTTAATCGGGTTTGACCCCGAAAAAAAGAAAAAAGAGAAGAAAAAACGCGAGAACGTTTGTTACGCGAATATTAAACGGGGAGGGGAGGGATAGAACACGGGGAAAGAATACGGGCGTGATTGAACGCGAAGGGGAGAAGAGAAATTCGTGGAGAGGACACAGATGAGCGAGGGTGAGTCGAGAGGGTGAGGAGGTACAGAGAGAAAGACCAGCGGCTGAAAGTAGGTACTTCGAAATATCGACCGTGCGCCAGCCTCTCGGAGTCTGTGTGTGCCTGTACACCCGTTTCCCGTTTATACCGCTTCTCGCCGCTTTTCTTCTTCCCCACCGATGAAAAAGGCCACACCGCGGGATACGCGGCACCCTCTTTTTTCATCCTCCTCCTCCTCCTCCTCTTCTTCTTCCTCCTCCTCCCTTCTTTCGCCTCTTATCACCGCGAAAACTTTGAAAAACTTTCATCTCTCGAGGCCCTCGCCTCCGTTCCCACCGCCATCCCCTTCGCCCATCCTTCTCATCGCCAGTGTCAAGAGATGATTTTTCGCGAGAGAAAAGTTCGAGGGAATTCAAAAATAGGAAGCATATATTTTTTTAACAGGATGTTTTTTTTTTTTTTCGGTTAGAGTAAAAGTTCAAACGCGACGCGTATTAATAATTCCTTTCTTCCTCTCGCTTGCATCGAACGGATAACGCGATCGAGGCTGGTCGGAAAGAGAAAGGATCACGTGGGTAGAACAATCGTGGGAGGAAATATCAACGGGTTACGGAAGCTGGAAAGAGAGGCGGAATGCGGAATCTGGTGTCCTGGGCGTCTCGCTAAAATACCACGATCCTTTATCCACGCGATGATCATCGAAGGGCAAAAAAAAAAAAATGCCTGACACGAGTGTACAGGCTCGTGCGGAACACAATAAAGTCTGCGCCCCAACCCCTGAAATGCCAGCGTGACAAAGGGTGGTTAAGCCCTTCTTGACGAAGATGCACCATACCGACGAGCCAGCCGAGCCCCTGATATTCGACGTGCAGACGTCGCGACGCTGTGCAATCGCAGCACCACGCCGATTTTCAAATATCATCTTTCCCTCTCCCCCTTCTCGCTCGCCTCTTTCTTCCCTCCTCGTTACGCGCGCGCCCAATATATATATATATATATCGCGATCGCCTCGATCCGCGAGGAACGGTCGAAGAAAGGAAGGAAACTTGTTCGCGCGATTGATCTCTAACGAGGCTCGCTCTCTCCCCTTCGCGTACGCAAATTATCGATTTCGCGACCTAACCTTTTTCAACGAGGGAAAAGAAGGCCGTGGCGGGCGAACGGCGGCAGAAGCGCGAGAGTCTCGAGGTGCGGAAGAAGCAGAGGTCGAAGAAGCGTCGAATCTTCGAAGCCCGAGTGGAAGAAAAATTTAAGGGACCAGATTTAAGAATCGAGATTAGGATCGACAACGGTGGCCTAAATTGTCGGAGGCTGTGCGTGTAAACACGGTTGAGCATCTCTTCTTGATCGAGATAAGGAATAGTAGATACGCGAGAAGGAATAGAAGAGAGAGGGGAGGGGAGGGAGAGGGGGGGAAGAAAGAAGATCGGCGATGGAAGTGGAGATCGTGACTTGCGCGGAGAGCAAGAACGTGAACGGATCGGGGGATGGTGTCCCGACGCACGATAGCAGAGTGCAAATAGTACGAAAAACACGGTGAGAAGGAGGAGGAGGAGGAGGAGGAGGAGTGGCGGAGTGTTTTTCTTTTCGATCGGTTAAAGAGATGCAACGATCGCGAGAGATCGGCGTGTAACTCGGCACGCACGAGTTTCCTCTTCTTTCTTTTTCCTCTTCTTGCAGGACGTCGCTGTTCATTATCATGAGTTTCATCTACGCGAAACTGCTGGTGGTCGTGTGCATCGCTTACGTGATAAGCGAGGTGGTCACGCACAAGCTGCCTCTCTACTACTACGAGGGATTCTTCACGTATCTCTACGGTGTTAGCATCTTATTCCTGTTGTACGTGTTCTGCTTCCTGCTGCAAGAAAGCGCTTGCTGCTCGAGGGGCAGTGACACGCCACCCCCGCCTCCGAGGCCGCCCAAACCACCCAAGGAACCCAAGGAGAAGAACAAGAAGAAGGACAAGAAGGACAAGGAGCAGAAGTCGTCGAAGAACAAGAAGGAATATCAGGTCAGGATCGATCTCTCTTCCCCAGTGCCATTGTAGCGAACAGTTGTACCACAGTTTCGTGGTTGTTAAGAAACCGCGTGTATTTCGGTGAAGTTGTCGAGCCGACAATTTTAAAAGGCATAAGTGGGTTGTTATCCATCCTCATCCACGGATCCGGTTGTAGAATCCGCGTTGTTACACTCCTCCCTCCCCCTCCCCCTTCCCCCACGTTCATTATCACGCGAATCCACTTCTAAAACCGAAACTCGGCAATTTTTTCCTCGTTGAAATTTACTGCTCTTTTTTTCGGGGTCGAGGCGACGAAATTATCTTCTAAAATTAAATTCGAGAGTCGAGAAATGGAACGAGATAGACGAGGATGGCTCGTGGTCGGTTATTAAATTGTTAACCGGTCGATTATAACCGACGAATGAAAAATGCGATGATTTCAGGACGCCGCTGACGTCGAGGCTGGGGTGGCCACTCGGGCGCTGAGGAAGCGGAAAACTTCGCAGAACGATCAGAGCCATGGAAGCTTTTTCCTCAGAATCGGAGCCATCGGTGAGCGGGAATCGAACTTCAAAGCGGAGATCTCAAACGAACGCGTCGTTATTTAAAAAAAAAAAAAACGAATCGTTTGCAGCTTTTGGCCTGGGTACAATGGTCTACAACGGTTTGGAATTCGGCACGTTCTTCGAGGTGCCACCCACATCGCCGTGTTACCAGATTCTCCAAGGCGTGAATCCAGTTCTGCAAATGATCTTCACCTTCATGCAGATGTACTTCATCTTCATGAACTCGAGGGTAGGTGGAAAAGAAACGATTCTTCCTGAGATCGATCTCTTTCGAATCGTTGTCCATTGATCGTCCGTTTTCTCTCGAAGCTGAACATTCATCGCTTCAAAGTGATCGCTCGTTTCGGCCTGATGCACGTGGTGGCCACCAATCTCTGCGTCTGGATCCGTACCCTGGTGTTGGAGAGCATCAAGGAGATCACGAAGCATCATCAGAAAATGGGCCAATTCGAGGCGGGCATTCTCGGTAAATCGTCTCGAGAAGAGGAGGTCTCGAAGAAGGACTTCTCTGATCTCAAAAAATGAAAAATTTTTTCAGAGAGTATCAAACAGCACTCGATGAGAAACGCGGGTGCCATACTGGGCACGGCGCCCCGGGACGTGGCGCTTCTGCGCGAGGCGCCGTTAACAGCGACCAGGTCGTCGACCGTGCCCACGTCGGTCGCGAGCACCATAGCCGCCTCGTTGGGCCGAATGATGAAAACTACGGCAAGGGCGATCGCCAGGGCCGTCACCACACCGACCTCGACCACCGCCACCGGCTGGAACCCCCCCACCTCGATGACCACTTCCACCTCGACCCCTAGGCCCAGCTTCACCACCACCACCGCCAGCACTTTGACCACTTTTCTCACCGCCCTCACGCCGAAAACCACCACCGAGGAGAGGACCACCCCGACCACTCCAGCCACCACCACCACCACCACCACCACCACCGCCGCCGCCACCACCACAACCACCACCGCCATACCCTCCACCACCTTGTCCTACTTCGTCCAACTGTTCGACGCGCCTCAGGCGGACAACAAGGAAGAGGTAAGGTATCTTTCCTATCGATCGATTTTTTTCGTGTCGAGTATAGATCCGATGTAATCGTTCCGTAACACAGATACATCAAATCTTCGACCTGAACAACCAAACGAACAGCAGCGAATATTGGAGCCCGAATTTCGGCGCGTACGCGGAGGCGTTGACGGACGAGGAGATCGCGTCGAATTCGTGCGGCCGGGTGAACATCATGGGGACGATCGTGCAGGACGCCGAACCGTACCTCTTCCCCTTCATAATCGAGTACAGTTTGATCGGTGCAGCGGTGATCTACGTGATGTGGAAACACATCGGCCGACATCCCCGTTGGCCGCATCAGGTGGAGGCAGATCTCGAGCGGCGGCTCGAGGCCATGCTGTCCCGAAGAGCGGTCGCGTTGGCTCATGCGGGTAATTATTATGCTACATTTCGCATACTCTCTCGAACCATCCATTCCTCGAAGATCGGCCGGGAGAAAAGTAAAGAAACTAAAAAGTGGATGTTTCTCGACGCAAAAAAAAAATAGGTCACACAAGGGTGGACTGTGTAGGAGCGAGCAAAGGACTGTTCTTCGGCCTGTTGCTGCTGGTCGGCTCGCTGATCTGCCTGATCCTCTTCTTCGTGCTGATCCACCATCCGGACTTGGGCCTGGTCGCCATTTACCTCGCGGACGTGTCCCACTGCGTGCTCATGGTCCTCTCGATCGTGGCCATAATCGTCGGTTTCATACGGGTGCAGAGCTTGAAGTTCAAGGCCGAGGAGCAGAGCGACCTGAACGACATCCTCCTCCGCGTGTCGGGCTTCGGCCTGTTCGTGTACGCGGTGTTCAGCGTGATCGCCGGCTCGCTGGCAGCGTTCACCCACGAGCCCAACCTCCTCGTCATGCTGACCGGCCTCCTCTCCGTGGCCCAGGTCATCCTCCAGATGCTGTTCATCGCGGACGTGTCCCGCAGAAGGGTCCACCTGCCCGAGCACGATCGTAGCAAGCCCGGCAGGCAGGTGGTCACCTTCCTGCTCATCTGCAACCTGACCATGTGGGTGATCTACACGTTCGAGTCGCAGAAAGTGATGGCGAACCCGGTCCAGCTCGATTTCTACGGGTTCCTCGCGTGGGCCATCGTGCAGAGGGTCACCCTCCCGCTCTGCATCTTCCACAGGTTCCACAGCGCGGTCACGTTCGCGGAGATATGGAAGACGAGCTACAAGGCGCGCCTCGACTAGACGAGGGGATCGTTCGTCGGGATCAACGGCCCGGATTGATCGTCGTTCGCGAATCGAGAGGGAGAGAGAGAGGGAGAAAGAGAATGAGAGGGCGAGCGAGAGAGATCGGATCGAGTCGAGCGGATATTCCTGGCCGCGACGATCTTCTCGATCGTCTCTCTGTCCAAGAGACTCGGATGGACAGGGATGATGATGATGATGATGACGATGATGGCCAGGCTGATCGATAATATTGGACATATCTCGGAGAAATATTGGAGGCGGCTCGCGGTCTCTCTCGAAATCTGGGGTTTGCGTTGCTTCATACGGATCGAGAAAAAGTCGGGAGGGTGGGGAGTGTAAAGGGCGGCAGGTGTGTCGACGGCAGCGTCCTCGAGGAGTCGAGGCTTGGCACGCAAAAGTGCGGGAGGATCGCGAAGCGTCGTTTTATTTTTTTACGCGCGTTATGCATTCGTTAGCCTCGGTTCTCTTTGCTTGAAACAGCAGCTGGACGGTTGCTTGCTTGATCGGAGGAGAAACGGGAGAGCACGGATCAGCAGGAAACAGGAGGTCGATCCATCGAAGGGAAAAAAGGAATTTCGGCCGGAGGAACCGGATAACTTTGAACAGATCGTATTATTCAAAATATTATTGAAAAGCACAAAAAGAAGAAAAATACAAGGAACAAGATCTAAAGAACACACACACACACACACACATACATACACATGCATACAAACACACACAGTGTACGTGCAATGCCACACAATCACGAAATAGGGCCCATTTTCCTTTCACCGTGTTTCACACCTTTTACGATCTCTATTATATACTGCCGTCAAATTTTCTACTTTTATATATTATATATGTATCTTCGCCCCCCATCGTGCATCGAGAGCGTTTAAGAGTACGTAGGATTTTTCACTCTTCGTTAATCCTCGGAAATCGCAAGATTTGGACTCGAACGAGCCAATATCGGAGGAAAGAAAGGAGTTTTTTCAAAACGTGAAACATCGTGCCAATTGATTATATACGAAGAGTGGAACCATCTTCTCAAAGCGAAATCACCTCATATTAGCGATCAAGTTCACATTCTTCGTTAGCATGGCCCAAGATAGTTTTTAGGTAAATAGCCGCCGTGTGATCTCTTTCTCGCGAGAAAAAGAAAAGGATGGAGAGAGGAACGATGAACAATCGAAGAGAGAGAGAGAGAGAGAGAGGAGACTCGATGCAGGAACAGGGTAATTTCGTTGCGCCGCAAGTCGAGCGAATTGACAACGACGCTTTTTTGATATCTCGCGGACGGATACGCATTCTTTTGTTCGAACAAGATTGGACGAAGTTTGTCCGCTTCGTCGACCGATTTGACGGAAAGGAAATCGAAGAGGAGAAGGAAGAAGACGCGCCAAAAAAGAAGAAGAAGAAGAAGAAGGGAAAACAATTCCGACGTTCTTTCTCGTTGCGTGCTTCAAAGTACAAAATTGTTTCTAACTTTTAGAATCTTTTATCGACACGACCCTTTCGACGTTGACGCTCCAATAAGAGCGTTCCGACGAATATCGAAGTGTGATTCGAGTCGCGAACGAATGAGTCGCGCGTTGTAAAAGTGGGATAAAGAGGGAAATAAAATAGAGGAAAGGACGAGAAAAGCGACGACGATGAAAAAGGATCTTGTATAAAGAGTAAAGAGTATTTTTTTTCTTTTTTTTCTCTCTCTTCTTTTTTTTTTTTTTTTTAAACAAATTCGAACATAATACTCGAAGATGTTCGAATCACGGTAGGGAGGGGACAATGACGAACCACGAATGTAGATTTTATCGCGAGACTAAGAGATTAAAAGTAAGGAAATATCATAGACGAAGTTTTAAGATAAAGGAATTAAACGTGTAAAGGAAGATTATATGACGAGAAGAAGGAGAAGGAAAAAAAAAAAAAATTATAGTCGGTACACTGGTAGTGAAATTTACACATACGCGTACACACAGCCACCACGTACCATTCACACGGAAGTTTATTAATAATTGTACCATGGTCGATTAGCTTTTAATGCCATCTCTCGGGAGAGATCGAACGAGATAAGTGGAACTTTCACATTTACATTCGCTATGAATATCGTAGATCGTTCAGAAAATACACACACACACACACACACACACACACACACACACATACACACATACATACACGCGTTTGAATAGTCGTTATTACATACATACATTGAAAGAAATCCCTCCACGGATCCCGTGAAAAAACTCAGAGAAGAAAAAGAATCCAACCCTTATTCCCAACAGGAGGAAAAAAGAAAAGAAAAAAAAAAAAATAACCTGGTCGAAGTATGTACCTAGCTCTATTCGAGTCTAAATATTTTAATTCTTAGACGTATGTACGTAGGTGAAAGAGAATTAAGTTAAGGAGAGAGGAAACGGGGTGTGGGAAACGAGAGGGACGAAGTTGTGACACTAATTATACATAATTGTAATCCGAGACGACATTATTATTATAAAAGGTAACACGATATAAATATGAAAAAAAAAAAAAATTTAAATATATATTATATATATATATATATACGCAGATAGATAGATATATATATATATAATATAATACATTTATGGAGATCTTTTATTGACTTCGATGTGCGCGACTGCGAATGAAGTGATGCGAATATGTAAATAACGATGCACAGTAAGGTATTGTATCAGCAGAGTGTCTGTGAAACGAAGAGCAATTATCGTTTTGCGAGTTCACGTTGCGAGGCGTGTTTTCGACGGAAGAGGGTGCGTTTATTTATCTCCCTTAATTATAATAATGTGATCGAGCCCTCATCAAACCTCTTCTTGAAAGTTCAAAGAAGAAAAAAAAAAAAGAAACCTCATCGACGTTATCCCTATATCGTCGACCGATATTTTATCGACTAATCGATCGATCTTTGTCAAAATTGACGAATGGTCCGCACCCTCTTACCCCTCGATTCCCTCGTCTCAACCGCGAGAAAAAATTCATACTTGCCCATTGATTTCATTAAGAATCAAAAGGAAAAAAGAAGGGGAAAAAAAGGATGAGGAAAAAAAGAAGAAAAAGAAGAAAAACAAGCGTTCGTTTGATCTTTCCTCCGCTCGAATCCCGAAATCTTTTCACCAACGCTCTGCGCGAGAGTCACAGCGTGACTCTATCGAAAGAAAGAAAGAAAGAAAGAAAGAAAGGGGGATGCGAGTCCATAGGAACGACAATATACGTAAAAAAGAAGAAAAAAAAAATCATAGTTAACAAGGCACTGCCACACACAGGACCAACAAAAGTCGAGAAAGTGATTATAGAGAAGAATGGGTGGAAAAGGAGGAGGGGAGCGCAAGAAGACACGAGGAGAAGGACGAAGCATGGGCGAATAGATGGAACCAAAAAAAAAAATAATATAATAATAATAATAATAATAATAATAATAAAACGGGGATTTTCGAGCAGAAACGGAGAACAAGCGAAAATATAATATAAATACATATACGAAAGCCAATACCCTTCCAACCAATTATCGAGAATGCGTGTATCGAAGTGTGAGTGAGGAATACGTATGCGCGAGTGATTGAGCAAGCGGTGCACGTGCGACACGTTTTTATTCGGCGAACAACGTCTTTGTATACTCTGCCCGTGTTCTAGAGAACAGGAGGATCATGGTTCTTGTGTATGTACATCAGTATCTCGATAGTAGCCGTAAGCCTAATCAATGAGTCGCGGGTTTGCCGAGAAAAATCGATTCGACTCGTCGAGGGAATCCTCGATTCGAGGGCCATGATCGGGGGAATTGCATGGAATTCGTTGAAAGGATGATTAGAGCGAGAAGAAGTCACGCTTCTATTTAATTATTTCGAGTAAGGACGGCGAAAGGGAAGGGAGGAAGAGAGAGAGAGAGAGAGAGAAGAAGGAAGAAAAGGGGCTCGATACAAAGGCAAATCCGCGACACTTCGTCATTTAACATTACGTAGTGAGTTTTCGATGTCTTCGAGCATAATTACAGTTTGTACACATACACAATACGCGCGCACAACCGACATACTCATCACTCTATCAGATAGATACGATAATAGGGGAGGGAGGTGGCAGATGGAAGATTTCACGCGGACAATGGGATTAGAAGTAATAAGTTTCAACACGCAAGACACAAAGGATATTAAAAAAAAT